ATTTTATCACTATATAATTTACCATTATTATGTAACTAAATTTTGAGATGAACCATTTTGTCGCCATAGAAACCAATGGTAAATGACCCTAAAATCACCATTTTTATGAAGGTTTGACCCATTTTTCAGAGAAAAAAGTAGTCCAGTGACCATATTTTATCTGGGTTTTAAGAACAGCTTTTAAGATAAAATCACATTGTACACATCACGGAAATATGATCATTTGTTTTAATTGTTTCCAACTATGTTTAATATGGTGAAGTTATTCTGACCTAATGTTTACTTGCTAATATTAATTGATGCAAAAGTCAGTCAAAACATTTTTGTTTTGGTTGTTATAGTTACTGATGCATTCCTGAGGTTCCATGCATTATTGATCGATACATCAGTTTAGACATTAGAATCAGTAATGGTCTATGTAAACAAATTTGTAATGGTATAATAGTTCTTGGAAGAGGCTGTGCTGGTGTCCTCCACAGACAAAATAAATTCTTACTGGTAAATTTAATACTCAAAGTAATTTGATACAATGACTGGTGTTTTGTTTCAACCATGTTGATTGGTCATTCTGTAGAGATGCTATGACTTGGAGGCTAATTTCTGAGAATTTCCACTCGCATGTGAGGAAGTGACGTTGCATATATGTATAGGGATGTTTTTTTATTCATATACATTTGTAATTTTTGAAACAATGTCTCGTATTAACAACGCAGATGTAGAGGGCTGCAAAACATGGTCATTTGATAAAGATAAACAGGTAATTTTAAATTTCTGTTAATAGTAATATATTTTTTTCTTCATTATTTCATAATCGATGAATTTGCATTTCATAACATTGATAACCTTGTAAAATCCTGAAATCACCATATTCTACTGGTATTACCTATAACCATGCTGAAAGGTTTTAATAAAAAAAATTGATTATCTACCCCTCTCTCAGCTTTATGTACATCTCGAAATCCCCTCCTTAAATTTTGCTTACATATATACATGCATTTCTATTAATTTTCAATAATTTATCTTAATTTACAACAATATGCCTACTTTTCACATCTGTTGATCACTCACTCCTACTTTTAATATTTATAAACAGTCGTGAAACAATGTATTTCTGTCTTTTTTTTTTTTTTTTTTTTTTTTTTTACAACTCCCAACTAAACATGTATTTATCATCGGTTTTATTTTTACACTCTATTTTAGTACATGCTGCTTTGTTGACATTGCCTCATTACCATATGCAAATTTTATGTTAATTGCCCATTTATTTGTGCTTTGATTGGTTTGTACAATATTTTGAATGCCAGTACAGCTTTGGGGGCAACCATTTTGAACTTGGGAGTGGCAGGTTGTTTCATTGAGCTGGAATGAAACAAGTGAATGGTATTAAAAAAAGTGGTACAAAGTGGTTAATTTTTATGTTCTGTGAAATACTTTATTTTAGCTGGAATTAATTTTCACTGAATAGACTTTTTTTGGTGTTTTGTATGGAATTTATTTTCACTGATTTTTGATGAGTTGAATGTGAAATATAGGATAAAAAGCATATTCGCTGGATTTTATTTTCACTGAATCATCCTTTGAGTGAAAATAAATTCCAAGCGAAAATAAAGTATTCTACAGTATTTACATGTATAGTGTGGCTAGGCTAGGCTAGGCGAATCAGGATATTTCAAGTACTGAAATTTTGCTAAAAAAATACTGGGTGTGAATAAATTCTCCTCAAATGCGGCATGTAGAGCTGAACTTGGTGAATTTCCATTTAGGAAAATCTTATTAAATAATGGTATCATACAAGTGAGTTACCAGACCATAATATTACAAAAGAGCAAAAACAACTAAATTTACATTGGTTCTCACATCATCAAAATCATGGTAACCAAAAATGCTACAAATTTGTCTGACGACTCAAAATTGACACCCAGTATTTAAAATTAGAACACATTCAGACCAATATGCGACAAAAGTATGTAATTTCTGGAATTTGAGTGCAATAAATCATTGTTAGTAGTGATTTATTGCTTTGGAAATAGTAGTAATGTCACTTTAGCAGATCTTACAATCTATTACAGGACAGGCCTTGATCACTTCCTATCACTCCCAAATAAAGTCCCAAACTATCACTAAATAAATGTAATATATTATTATAGCATAGCTCCCATAATCACTTGTTACTACATGTATGTCCCTGGAGAGTCATTTTTAGCTCTCAGGCCATTTTTAAAGTTCTCTATTAACTGAAAAGCAACTTTAATTTATTCTAGTATGTGACCACAACCTTTTATTCAGTATTCTATAATTTGTTGTATGCATCTCAAAACATCGGCCAACTGAAAGCCTCCATAGGCAGGCGGTATGTTGACAGGATCTGTTGATTCATGATGCAGACACACCAATAAATACAAGTAGCTTAAAAATATTTATTGCCAATAAAAATTGCACTCAGTATTACAGTTGTGCATGTATATACAGACTCGTAACAACAGGTTAAACAATGATCGTCTCCCAGAATGCAACTTCATAGAGGTGCAAACCAGCAGAAAATAAGTTGGCATATATATAGACCAAAATACAGACTGAAAAGCACTAAATTTGACAAGACTATAATAAACTGAAAGCAATAACTATTACGAGCAATTGAAATACAATAAAATAACAATAAATGCTGTGTGAATATTTGCGGGGAGACCAGAAATACAGCAGACAGCGACAGCAGTCAAGGAGTATCTACCTTTACATATTTTTTGCAAGATAATTTTTTTTTCAGGATTTGTGGCAATATTGCAGTAATAACATAAATGTACTGTACATGTATATACATGTTGAACGCCTGTATATATTATAATATTACCTGGATAGGGATATTTTATCAACCAAATCTAGTTAAATTAAAATAGCAAACTGTGTCGTATTGTTTTACATGTAGACCACATACTAATGTTTATTGTAACACGATAACACGCTGAGAATTCTGTTCAGAAAATCTGTTTGTGTGCATGCAACTTTAGAATGACAACTAGCGAAGGCAGTATCATTCATGACTTGTTGTACTTGGAAATTTTGCAAACAAGCTGTCATCCTTGGTGTACACATCTTTCATAGTTTATATGCTGCAATATGCCAACTGTCAAGGAGTATCTGTTTAAATATTGCATTTAACTGTTAATTTCTGAATGCTCACTCATGTTTGTGTATTCATATTGTGGTTGTTTACAAGTTGATTTGCATTCTTGTGATTCCACTACCATATGTTTTAGGTTGGATAAATAGGATCTAGTGTGTTGATGTTTTTTAGTATTATTCATTGGATTTTATTTATAGTACTTGGATACCTGTTCATTATAGATTGCATAGTGTCTCGCAGGCGGGTGAGGCAGTAGCACTTCTCTATCAGGCTATACTAGAGAAATTGTTTCACCATCCAATATATGTATATATTGTAAATTCATCAAAGCAGATTTTTGTAAGAGTGTTTAGAATCACCATGCTATTAGATTGTCTGTTTGGGCTCCCAACCCTTACACCTAACAGTGAGACCAATCAGAGTAGTTTTTTCGATGCATCAGATTGCTTTGTAGATATGCTTTAATTGACTCAACCTAATTTTCATGTTACAAATTTTGAGTACGTACTAATAAGTAAAAAAATGAAAATGAATGGAAAACTTGCAGGAAATCCTTAATTGAAGTGTTAGTAGTTTGTACATGTATATTACCGGTAAACAGTTACTGATATAGCTTGTGTCAGGATACAGCTATTAACTAGCACACAATGTGGAAAGAACGTACTACATGTAGAAATAGAAATCGGGGGGAGGGGGTATGCAAACTTGTGTTTATTGAAAAAATCTGTGATGTCCCTATTCTTGAGGCAGACCATCAGACATTTCCATCGCCTGGCAACCATCACTGGTGAAGTAAATTTTCTTCTAAATTAAAAGTTAAAAAAAAAATGCATACTTTCAGGAAATTCCTGTCTGTTGACCTCAAGCATGCTTCATCTTTTTACTTGGTGTTTTCAAAGAGTGTGTGACAACTTAATTATGTCTAATTGTCTTGTACTGACTTAATTAAGGTGTCATTTATTAAATTAGTTCCGAAATCCCTACCATGTTCTCTGGTTGCCACGATAGTGAGTGTGTTTGCGACAGAATGAAGGGGATAGAGGGGGTTGATTTTAAATACCATTTGTCTGGGAGCCAGTTTTTCACAAATAGACATGTTTGTATGTAGGAATATTTAACAAAAGCATTTTTGGATACCAAAATACTTGTACATATTTTGTCTAACTTTGATGTATGTCTGCAATGCAGAATCAACATGTTTGGAATGTAACTGAAGCTGGAATAGTAAAATATCTGTCAAAATACTGTGTATTTTTACTGACTGAAAAGGAATATATATAATATGTATATTCACCCCCTTCTCTCAAACTTATCCATTTAATAAAGACCTCGCATGATTATTCATGGAACACCTGTCAAATTTCAATATTATTTGTAGATTTTTACTGAGATGGTTAGGAAGGAACTGTTTATTTATCGTTAAACCAATAGTATTGACGTATAAATGTATTCCCGGAAAGTGGTTTTGTCTGATTTTTGAGTCACTGGGGCCATGCCACTGAGATGAGTTCATATTTATTAGATTAACGGTGCTATTTGTCTGTAATTAAATGATAACAATGTTAACAATTTTTGTCATACTCCCTCTATAGACAACATTTCGTATTGATTTTGTTTTTGTGACATGCGTAACAGCTTATTTTATTTTTAACTTTATTTTATTTTGTTTTGTTTTGTTCTTATTTTTGTTTGAAATAGTTCTTGATTATTTTTGTTTGAAATAGTTCTTGATTATTTTTGTTTGAAATAGTTCTTGATTATTTTTGTTTAAAATAGTTCTTGATTATTTTTGTGCCTATGGTAAAGTTAACATTGCGTTTTAATATTATCACTGTAAAATTTCTATCGGTTTACAGTTTGCATTGCTTTCCACTTTCAGAGTAACTTGCATCTAGTGGATGCAGACAAATCTTCCAAAGATGAACCAGAGGGAGATGAGAATCCAGAACGTGGTAACTGGGGGAGCCAGGTAGAATTCATTCTATCTTGCGTTGGTTATGCAGTTGGTTTGGGTAATGTGTGGAGATTCCCCTATCTGTGTTACCGAAATGGCGGGGGTAAGTGCTTATATTACTTTATAACGTGTAATTACTCGTGAGATTACATTCTTGCTCATAGCTAAAATCTGAATGTTTTGTTTCCTTCACAAACTATCTTGAGCCTTGCAATGAAAGTGAAGGATATAAAGCTATGGTCGTTATAAACATTTCATAAATATACACTTTTATAAATTCAAATTCAAATTGACCAATCCAGAAATTGTATTGCGATATCATATTTGATTCTAATTAATATTAATGAGATAGTTCAACATTATCCAATCAGCAAGCACCTATTTTTTTTAAATATTTGAACAGTCCTATATATGAATATCGGGCTGCTATGTCATGTGAAGGCATGCATGTACAGACAATGTACAGCCTTTGAGTTAATCTCTATTAAATACTAGTACTGTAAAATGACTAATTTTCACTGGGTTTAAATTTCACTGATTTACCATTTCAGGTATATTCAGTGGGTTTTAAATTCACGGTTTTATCATTTAGATAATATATTTTATGCTAAATTTTACATATTCACTGGGTTTTAATTTAGCACATTTTGCCAGTCAGCGAAATAAGCTAAATTAAAACCCAGTGAATAATTACCCCCTTTACAGTATTGGAAATTCAATGAAAGCTAATGATCGGCATTTACACATTTTTATGAACAAGTTTATAAGCAAAGCCCCAGCTTTGTGCCCCTCACTGTATTTTTCTATTGTTTAGTTGGGGGTGGATATGAAGTATATGGCTAATACTACCCGGTAGGTGGTTTTTGCTGATTACTAGCTGCTGTAACCACAAAAGGGAGAAGATAACATTATTAACCAGTGACAGTTATTGATATTTTTTTTTATATTTATGCAAAAGAGCAATAGCGAAAAACCTGTGAAAGCTGTGACCGTTTATATACTTTGTTCCTATTTGTAGGTGCCTTTCTTATTCCTTATTCCATTATGTTGGCATTTGCGGGATTGCCGATCTTTTTTCTTGAGCTGTCTTTTGGTCAGTATAGCAGTAGAGGTCCAATAGAAGTATGGAACGCAGTTCCCATGATGAAAGGTAATTATCATGACTACTTTCAAGTAGATCTTGTGAAAATAGTTTTATGTATTACTAACTTAATACGTCAAGCGGTTGTGACAGTGCTAGAGATAGTTTGACACAAGTTACATAGGAAGTTCACTCTTCAAGACATTTTAACTTAAGTTTTGAGGAAGTAAAATCCATTGGTAGTTCAGCATCTGGAACATTTTGAATTGAGAAATTATGAAAAAATTTGCAAATTTAGACCAAAGATCAGCTTTTATTTGAGCTTTGTGTTACTGTAAAATACTTTATTTTAGCTGGAATTAATTTTCACTGAATAGACTTTTTTTGGTGTTTTGTATGGAATTTATTTTCACTGATGTCTGTCAAGTTGAATTTAAAATATAGGAAAAATGGATATTCGCAGGATTTTATTTTCACTGAATTATTCTTTCAGCGAAGATAGCGAAAATAAAGTATTCCACAGTAGTTGTATGAATTAACAAGAATTTTTTTTTTTATGAACTAGGTGTAGGGATCGGCATGATGTGTGTATCTGCGTACGTTGGCATATCGTACAACGTTATTATCACCTATGCAATCTATTACACATTTGCTTCGTTTACAAAGACTCTGCCGTGGATTGGCTGTGATCATGATTGGAATACAGACCTGTGTTCTACATTGGCAGAGGACTGTCTTAGTAAGAATGGAATCATCAATGACACAAATCACTGTGTATACATCAGTAACCTAACAGAGTCTGAATTAAGTTACTACAATGTCTCACTACCAGACAACACTGAGCTGTATACTGACCCATTCGAGGATCAAAGGGTTCGTCCAAGTGAAGAATATTGGCTGTAAGTACAATAGTGCTTTAATGATTATCAACATTTCCATAAAAACCTTGGGAATTTTTTTCATTTTTTGTATATTTCGAAATAATAATTCAAATTTAATGGTAACAATGCTTTTGGCACACGTTGTATACATCACTATGAGTCTCATATCAAACAGAATGCTTTTCACTTGAGTATATTCAATATACAGGTTGTATTGTTTCTTGAAAACACAATGCTCTATCGTTCTGCAGACTAGATTCATAGAAATGAGAGGCCTAGGGTCGCATTAATTGACATATTATGTATTTATTACTTTATTAGCTACATATTTTGATAACAATTCGCAGGTTTATTCTGTGAAACCATAATCATAAATATTTTTTAAACACTTTTTAGTTAATTTCATGATTTATTTCCTTTCTTCTAGTCATGGTGTACTACAAAGAACTGACAGTATTACTGAAACGGGGTCAATAGTTTGGCAACTAGCTCTCTGTCTGCTGTTAGCATGGATTATTATATTCTGCTGTTTATTTAAAGGAGTAAAATCATCAGGAAAGGTATGATCACATAACTATGTCATCGTCTCATCCACTTTTGTTGAAACCTCATTACTTGTAGTTCATCTTTCGTTGATATCTGATTATTACTAACAATACCTGACAAAAGTTGCAAATGTAGCGATTACCAACCCATTCATTGCAATACACACGACTGTAAATCAAGAGCAAGTTGTTGAAATCTGCCCAAAAAAGCTCCATTCGTCCAACTTGCTCCATTGACACTTTTTGGCCATTTCCACATAGGGTGCAGCCTGTTAAGGGAACTCCTGTCTCAGACTGTGGGCTGAGTTGTAGTCGAATGGGTTGGCTTGTTTGGTGTAGTTGATGTGTTTTTTTAAATGTTTTTTGTGGACATTGAATGTCACGGTTGTCTCTCCTGAATTTGCTCGTGATTGACACATAGTAAATTACAATTGTAATGTGCTATCCTGGCATCAACCAGGCTAGATCGAACACGAGCACTACGGACCTTAACCAAGGTTCCCTAAAGTCGCATTCGTTAGTGAATGAATCTCGGCCAGTGGAATTGGCCTTCCCATTGAGTCTGTGGCACACTTATCCAGGGTAGGGGTTGACCCTTTATGGTGTTCAGCCTAAGGTAGGATTTGAACTTGGGTTTACTGATCATGAGTCTGATAACAACCACTATGCTACCAGTGACCGGTTGATGTGTTTACGTTGTTAAACTAGAACATGTGATGTAAATATAGTTATAATATATGACAATATTTATTAATGCAACATTTGTTTTTTCCTAGGTTGTCTACTTCACAGCAACATTCCCGTACGTAGTACTCTTAATTCTTTTGATCCGTGGTGTGACACTGCCAGGCTCTGAAGACGGGATTAAGTTTTTTATCACACCTGTATGGGCAACTTTGAGCGAACCACAGGTGAACAATTATATTTGCTGACTTCTTTTATGATACAGTCAAACCTGTCTATAAAGAACAGTCAGTGGACTGAGCCAAACTGTCCTTTATAGACAGGTGGTCTTTATATGGAGGTGGCCTAATTTATTCATTTAATCATGAATATTAATTAGGGCCGAAATTTTAAGGGAGATCATAAGCAAAACATAAAAACAAACCTACAATGGAAAGGTCTTTTTTAATAAAAGTCGCTCATTTTCATCTGCATAATTACACAGCTTTACTTTTTTACTACAAATTATATCATGAAATTTACTGGAACCAAGTGATTCTGCCCATGGATTCATTGGTGTATTTAATGCATAAGAACGATTGTCAACGATCGGCCGCATTGGCGTTTCAGCTCGAACTTTCACACTCTCGCCACGCAGTCTTATTCCCCAGTCTCTTACACATATTCCATCACAGGCGGTAATCAGTCCCGTCGTTAGTATTGTCGATTGTAATGTGACAAAATGCACAGGCAAAGTTGCCGTGTTTGAAAAAACAAACAAGCATTAAAAATGAGGAAGCATTGGTAATAAACAAAATTTACCAAACTCGTAACGATTGCTCCAACTCTCGGTGTTGAATCAGAAAGTCAAACGAACCGGAAATGAAACACGGTGATCGTACACGTAATTTTACAGTTATTTGTTGCAAGCATCGACGTGTCAAAACTGCCCAAACGAATTTTCTCGATTGCGAATTATTGATATTACCGTTTATAAAAAAAAGAGGATCAAAACAGAAAACATCTTTCGTTGACAATAACCCCGAGATGACCCCTCAGTAACAATACGTTTTTGCCCATGCGCTAGCTTCATTAGCATAATTTATTACGATCAACAACAAACAATATGGCGGCCAAAATAGGTCGGATTTTGCAATCCCGCGATGAAAACGAAATAAACAAATGTTTTATTATTTTTTTTGGATATTTCATGTCGACAAGGTAAATAAAACGTCTCTCATTTAATAAAACTGGTTCATTTTTCTTGTTTTCGAGACGGGGGGAATTTGCTCTTCATGTGCGAGACAGTCCCTAAAGATTGCGTACTAGTACTCGGTAATCTGAACGTAACATGTGGCTACTTTCCTGTTAGCGATTCGCAAGTAGCTATTGTCTTTTTGCTGAGACTCTCTGATGGAAATGTAGGTGGTCGTTATACAAAGGTTAAAGTGTGAATAGGTCTACAATAAGGTGGTCGCTGGTCGCGTTGGACAAGTGGTCGCTATATCCAGTGTCTTTAACGTCTAAATTGCGAAGGGACTGTACTAGGGTGGTCGCTATGAGCAGGTGGCCACTCTGCACAGGTGGTCGTTAACACAGGTTTGACTGTACCATAATTTGGTAATTTATTTTTTGAAGTCTTCAGGGCAAAAATGCAAGAATTTCATGCACCACCTGCTTGCACGGTTATGAATGTTGCATCGATCCACAGGGTAGTTGTAATAACTTAAGTGACGTTTTGACAAAAAAAGATCTTTTCCTTTTTTACCCCCTCCTCTTCAAATCTCATCACGAAGTTCCTTGCTCATATGTAATCAAGGCTTGTTATCAACAGTTTATTTGGTGTTTAGGTTGAAGATTCACAACTTCTGACTTTATGCTTTAGACATGCATTGTTGATGATCTCTGTTTCTATGAAATATCACAAGAGTTGAAATTTGCACAGAATTTTTAGTCCCCGTTCAGACGAAGTCCGAAAACGGGGACTTGTAATTCGGTGTCCGTCCGTCCGTCCGTCCGTCCGTCCGTCCGTCCGGAGTCGTATCTCAGAATCCCTTGTACCGATTCCTTTCATTCTTTGCCTGTGCCTAGTACCTTATGTGGGACATATGCACATGCAGTGGTTTAGCAATTCGATTCAAAATGGCCGACTGGCAGCCATCTTGTTTTTTGAAAATAGTGTATTTTGGACATGCTTTGGCAGTTTTCATTCAAACTTAGTACATGGATTATACATGTTAGGATACATGTCCATGACGATTTATTTCACAATTGGATTAAAGATGGCCGACTGGCAGCCATCTTGTTTTTTGAAAATGTTGTATTTTGGACATGCTTTGTCAGTTTTCATTCAAACTTAGTACATGGATTATACATGTTAGGATACATGTCCATGACGATTTATTTCACAATTGGATTAAAGATGGCCGACTGGCAGCCATCTTGTTTTTTGAAAATGTTGTATTTTGAACATGCTTTGTCAGTTTTCATTCAAATTTAGTACATGAATCATACATGTTAGGATACATGTCCCCGGCCATTCGTGAGTTCCTGAGTCTGTCCGTCCGTCCGTCCGTCCGTCCGTGCGTCAGTCTGTCCAGAGTCGTATTTCAGAATCCTGTGGACCGATTCTGTTCATTCTTTGCATGTGCCTAGTACCTTATGTGGGACATGTGCACATGCAGTGGTTTAGCGATTCGATTCAAAATGGCAGACAAGCAGCCATCTTGTTTTTTGAAAATGTTGTATTTTGGACATGCTTTGTCAGTTGTCATTCAAACTTGGTACATAGATTATACATGTTAGGATACATGTTAATGACGATTTATTTCGCAATTGGATCAAAGATGGTCAACTGGCAGGCATCTTGTTTTTTGTTTTTTTTATGCGATATCTCTTAATGCATGCTCTGTCAGTTTTCATTCAAATTTGGCACATACATGTACTTTATACATGTTAGGATGTATGTCCATGACAATTTGTTTCAAAATCTGATCAAGGAGGGCCGATTGACAGCCATCTGACTTTTTGGCCTTACTACTATATTTCCACAATTTATGTACCATTTTCATTCATATTGGCACATACATCATACATATCAGTGTGTTTCATAATCAGATCAAAGATGGCCGAATAATGGCTGTTTTTATTTTTGGCCATATTACTACTACACGGAACACGTGTTTTGATGTAAATAGACAATCTGTTGTATATGCCACTTGGAACTCAAGTTTCAAGGACTCGCTCGCGACAACCCCTCTGCTGACAAGCACAAAGAGAACTTTCCAAAATTTAACGGGGACTGTGTCATTTTCAATGACTTGTTTTGAAATTTTGTATCAAAATTTCACTTAAGGTGTTGTAATCTATGTGATCTATCTGCACTTGAGAGAACACTCTTTGCCTTTGATGCTCTTTTCAAGTTAAAGCCATGTACTGTAAAATCCAGCGAATATACCCTTTTACATTCAACTCATTAAAAACCAGTGCAAATAAATCCCATACAAAACACCCAAAAATGTATTTGCAGTGAAAATTAATTCTAGCTACAATAAATTATTTTACAGGATGTAGTCGTCGCGCTGCGAATGTGCGATATATGGGTCTCATATAAACAAAGATGGCGACTTTGACTGTTGCACATACATGTATCAACTCATGCACACTGAGAGCTTACAAAGCTTTAATTAGATATTTTTTTTTGTGTGTTTGAAAGGTATCGAAGGAGTCGCTGGCAGTAATTAGTGCAAGTATCGCCCTGGGCAAAACTCGTACTCGTAATTTCATTAGAAAAGCGCATTAGATTCCGAGAAAATCAATGTTTATCAACACAAATGTCACACATGCACGGCGTAACGACTACCGTTCTTTAAGCCAAAAACAAAGCATCTTTTTTTAATGATGAAGCATAACAATGATTTCCTGCTGTTAACTATAGGTATGGTTGGATGCTGCCGTTCAGATATTCTACTCATTGAGTGCTTCTTGGGGAGGTCTGATCACTTTATCATCCTATAATAGGTTCCATAATAATTGTTACAGGTTGGTGCTTTCTTCAAGTCTAAATTCTGACATTAACCCAATAGTCCTGTATTGGTTTCTGTGATATTTGTACGGGTATCCAATGATAAGCAAAGGATGGAGTCGAATAAATTATCTAGCCTAACAATAAATGCAAATCGTCGCTGTGATTTTGAGATGAGCATGAGGGCCCCTCAAAAAAGGTTTCGTTCTCCCCTATAATTGTGTACACTGTTCCAATTGCCATGGTTACATTGAGGAACTTGTGGCAATCTCACTCTCAATGCACTCTTGACGGCCATTTTTTGAGTCTATTAATTCACTAAGTCATGGTCATTGTGGGTCCCATGCAGCATGTTGAAAATATTTTAAAGCAACTGGCATAAATTCAAATACTATTTTTTTTCTCCTATATTGAAAGTGCTTTGCATTTATTCTGTACTGGGTTTCTTGTCACTTTTTCCAAATTTTTTAAAGAACACTTTATAATAGTTAGTTGATCTTTCTTTTCCCACAGAGATTCTTTGATTGTGGCATTGTTGAATTGCTGCACCAGTGTTTTTGCTGGATTTGTCATATTCTCAATTATTGGCTTTATGGCACATGAACTTGGCAAGCCGGTGGGAGAAGTGGTCGACCAAGGTAACTTATTACATACTGAATGAGCACCACACTAATTTAATGTATATTGGTGGTAGACCAAAGTAACTCATTACACATTGAGTGAACACCACACTAATTTGACTCTATATATTATTGGTGGTAGACCAAAGTAACTCATTACACATTGAGTGAGCACCACACTAATTTGACTCTATACATTATTGGTGGTAGATCAAAGTAACTCATTACACATTGAGTGAACACCACACTAATTTGACTCTATACATTATTGGTGGTAGATCAAAGTAACTCATTACACATTGAGTGAACACCACACTAATTTGACTCTATACATTATTGGTGGTAGACCAAAGTAACTCATTACACATTGAGTGAACACCGAACAAATTTGACTCTATACATTATTGGTGGTAGACCAAAGTAACTCATTACACATTGAGTGAACACCACACTAATTTGACTCTATACATTATTGGTGGTAGACCAAAGTAACTCGTTGAGCATAACACATTAATGTTGAAGGAACATTTTAACTCTCCTGCAATTCTAATGTAATACTGTATTTCACAGGTTTTGGTCTGGCATTTATTGCATACCCTGAAGCAGTAGCACTCCTTCCAGTGTCTCCACTTTGGTCATTCTTATTTTTCTTCATGCTCATCACTCTCGGTTTGGACAGTCAAGTAAGTATTAAATGATTTTTTCTAGACAAGCATGCAATTCATTTGTCAAAAAAATATGAATTCAAGAAAACTGGTAACAAAAATGTACCTCTTGTTGTCGAGGGGGGAGGATGTTTATGACTTTCCCCTGCATCGCACCACATTTAAAAAATCACAAAAATGACTTTAAGCAGGATTGCTGTTTAATAATTGACTTGTATTTTCCATTCCAGTTTACTATAATGGAGACGGTATCTACTGCTATAGTGGATGCTTTTCCAAACCAGCTTACAAAGCGCAAGACTTTCATTGTACTGTTAATGTGTATTGCTGGATATCTTCTTGGTTTAACATGTGTTACGCAGGTAATGTATTATATCTGTGTTAATTTTTATTTTACAAACCATTAGTATATAGACTATTAATTCGCCAACCAAATTTATTCTTAAAAAATAATTATTAAATGTATTCTTTTCATTCACGCTTTAATATTTTTATGCCAAACATAACAAATTAAACAAAAAACTGTTTTTTTTTCGTTCGTTCGTTCGTTTAGTCATTTCACTCCGGTGATTCTAACAGAACATCTCAACACATCATATCCGTGATGATTTAAAAAAAAAAACATTATTGTGATTTTCAGATTTTAATTCGGCCAAATTATTCGAAATTGAAAGAGCTTTCAGGTTGATACAACATAACATTGAGAGAATTAAGTTGTAGCACAATGTTGACACTTATTCAGTGTATGTTCAAAATTAAGCTAAAGAAAAATTGGTCATGGACATTTTCTATTATTGACAACTTTTTTTGAGGCAATAAATATGTGCTAATGCTAAAATGCATTTGTTTGAAGAAAATACATGTACATCAAAAATGCAAAATAAATATGTGATAGCTTGCCTAATAAAGGATAATTATCTTACAGGCTGGATTCTATTGGGTGGAATTGTTAGATTCCTACGCTGCTAGTTTTGCACTCTTACTCTTTGCTGTATGCGAGTGCATCAGTATTGGATGGATTTACGGTGTCAAGAGGTTCCAGAATGACATCCGAACTATGATCGGTTCCAGCTATGTTGACTTTCCACTCTTCATGTGGTGGCCACTTAATTGGTGTGCAATTACTCCTGGTATACTAACCGTAAGTGTACATGTTTTTTTACTCTGTATTACACTGTCATGGTGTTTGCGATAAGAGTTCCTCAACCTTTTCATCACCAGACTTTCTCGCCTACATTTGTTTGCACTTTTTTTTTTATGTTCTTCAAATTAACCCCAATTTTAGAGAGAAATTTTGAGTAAATTTTCAGTTTTTACTCAAAAATAATTTTGGATTTGTTGTCCCATTGTTTTGAAGGGGAAAGTACAGACTATAAACGACAGTATTTTGAGAACTGGTGGTAAAATGGATGAGCCCCCTCTAACACTCTTGCCCTAATTCCAAACGCCTCTCCAAATAACTGTCTTGAAGAAGGGCAGGGCACGCCACTGGAGGAGCAGTGTTAGGATTTTGTATTTTGCAAATGATTTGCATGTTCCCTATTTTAATTCTGAAATCATGAATAATTTTATTTATAAAAAAAAAGCTGTAATGAGCCAGTTTTTAACTGAAACATTAAAATACTTTATTTTAGCTATTCTCGCATGAAATGAAAATCCAGCAAATGTACCTTTTCCTAACTCGTCAAAAATCAGTGAAAATAAATTCTATACAAAACACCCAAAAAGTCTGGATTACAGTGCATCTATAGACAAATTAAGTTACATATTAATAATTCAGAATAATGAGTCGATGTAATTTCTTTTCATTGTTTATGGTTCACTGTAGACTACCACACACTAGTATTAATGTCATAAAAAGTATTATAATTTATTTTGAATACAGCCCCTAAAAGTGTACTGCCCTCTATGGCCGTAGTATTTAGTCAACAGTAGATCATGTCCTGGCATGGCCTGCTACATTGCTCGCTACTTGAATACAAGGACACAGACATGGAGTAATGAACAATTAATAATTTCAGAACAATGTAAATTAATATGGATTGTTTTTGTTATTTTCCAGTTTGTCTTGATGTTTAATTGGATTAACTGGGATGAGCCTGATGTAGGTGAACAGGCTGTGTGGGCCTCGGCAATCGGTTGGTGCATAATTATCTCTTCAATCATGTGGATTCCTATTATGTGGGGTTACGAGTTTGTCAAAAATGATGGCGGATTGGCTGAGGTAAGTGTTAGCTTGAATTTAGTGACATATTGTTCATGATTTGCTTCTTGCTGCACAATACCATAGTTATTTTACAACCATAGCTTGGTATACTTCTCATAATGAATGAAGTAATAATTGTGTTAAGTCATTTCCATTAAATATTGTTTAGTAGGAAAGCCAGAAACTTGGTTTGCTGTCTGCCCTATTCAAAAAAAAAAAAAAAGTTCAGCCAAATATTCTAGTGAATACTTGTGGTTGTTTACAATTATAATACTGTGTTCTCATTGGCTGACCATGTGTTGACCAGATATCAGCAGTGTTTGGGTCAATGTATGGATAAGATTGCATGTCATATCTAACATTGAGCACATTTTGTAATGATCTATTTAAACAACAAACCCTATTAGATAGAATAGAATAGAATAATGCTTTATTAATACCGTAAAGAAAGAGTTAACATTTCCTTTTAGGTTTTCAGATTAATAAAGTAAATAATGAAAGTACATGAAATGTAAAATTTTATTTAAAAAAATTCAAAATTAGTGAACGGCAAAAATACTACTGACAATTATTAATACCGGGTACTATGATTCATTCTAGTTAAGAAATTTTACTTTTTCACTTATTACGCGTTTTCAATTGTCTGTGATAGTGTTAGGCACATCTGAAATGCAAGCGTTAATCACAATTGATTTTTTTTCGTCTACTGATACGCTTTGTGATAACATCTAGACCTCAGAAGAAAATGCTTGCTTAAATAATGCCCCCCCCCCCTTTCAGTTATTGCACAGTACAGGGCAGCTAGTCATTCATTATTCTCTAATTCTCGACAGTGAATTTCGCATCCCTGTTCGGTTTGGTTGATCAAACCACGAAATGACCACAGATACCAGCAACGTTTAAGATCTGAAACACTACCCAAAATTACCGGTATATATATAATTAGATTCAAGTTATCAAGAAAACTTTGCAATTTTTCTTCCAACAACAAAAGAAATACTCATGAAGATTGGAAGTTGAATATTGGTGGTCTTTGTCTTCACAAAATTACAATTATATGATTTCTGTTTTGTACATGCATGCTCCTCATCAATAACTGATGTTCACATTTGTCTTGACAGCGCTGGTACAAAATGAGCTCACCAACAGAGGTGTGGGGTCCTGCTTTACAGAAATTCCGTAATGAATCCTGGGAAATGCACAGAAGAAAGGGAACAACCATGGGAGGGAAGTTGAAATTGCCTGAACGGAACCACGTCGCAACCAAGGAACCAGCTGTCCGATATATTGCAAAACCTGGTGAAGAAGGTTATCCTAATATTTAAGTACATATTGATGTTGAGAAGCAATTCTATGGTCTACATTGCAACTTATATTGGTAAACAAGACGGAAACCATATCTCGTGCATTTGCAAGCTTTTGAATCTTCAGACCCCGGCAAAAAGATAAGAATTGTTTCTCGTATGTTTCATAAGTATTCCATATAATTTGCTGTGGTCCAAATATAAAGTTAAAACCACCATCCAGTATTCATTTTTTATAAGCAATGTTAATAACTTTTTTTTTAATAACAATGGGATGGAAGAGGGAAATTGCAAATTTTTGAAAATGTCCAGTTAAAGAAAGATGCTGTTGTATTTCATTGCACGGTGTAATCTGAGTGGCAAGTAGTCAAAGCTGCCGTGTTACTCGTTAAAATCAAGTTCATTACATACAAGCTTTTTTATTTTGTTGTTCTGTCTGGTAAATATTTTAAATACTAGTATTATGGTAATTGAGTATTTAATGAGGAAAATAGTGTGAACAATTGTTTTTACAATGCGTCTCGGTGTATAACAGCAGCAGTCTTCACTGTATTACCATATAGATGTATTGATTCAAAATTGTGATTTTAATCTTTCCCATAGTTAGTTTTTAATTATAAACAGTTGAAATCATCTATTCCTTGAAAAAAAAATGTTTTTTCCTGTTTTTGTACCTGTATTACTTTTAGTGAAATCAACATTGCAAATTAATAGCTATTTACAGGCTTTGTGGCTGGTTCTTGGAATATTCAATCCGAAATTTTGTTAGTTCAGATACCTTGAGTTGAAAATAGGAATCGTCGTTGCAAGTGAATTAGCTATTTAGTCATTCTTGCATTGTCCAATCAGAAAACTAAATTCTTCTTCAGTGTGAGCCATGCCAAATGAATGCAATTAGTGTCTTGCATGTGAAGCTGTTTTCCGTCACACAAACCCCCTCTATGCATTTTAATAATTATTGAAAGTGAACTTTGTCACTGCAGCTTTTACTTGTGTTTATTTTAGTATTCTTTCATTATTTTGATATTAAATATTAACATTGATTGTGGACTCAGTCATGTACAGGAATTCTTCGGTTAAAATAATTAATAAATTAATTTTAATTTTTTTTATGGTGCATTAATATGTATAAATTGCTGGTTTTGTAACTAGATTTCCATTTTGAAGTCTTCCATTAAGTTTGTAGTTTTCGTGTATGATTATTTAGCTGTTGCTTTCAGTCTACTGTACAAATTAGATTTTCACTTTAATTGTTAAGGTAGAAGACTACTCATGATTTCAAATACCCAGAATTTATTCATTTTTAATAAATTGTACTTCCGGGAAATATAAGGATATTGACTTTAAAAAAGTTGGCGGTCACCAGATTAATTTTTGAGAAAATCATAGTTGTATTTTGGTGGATAGTGGGCATGTTGACTGTATTATAGTGATGTTACCATAGGTTCCTATGGCAGAGATATTATGCCATATCTCAAATTGTAGGCTGGTGACATAGGCTGAAAAAATAATATATTGTTAATGATGGGATACTTTTTTGTTTTTCTGATTTTATTTTTTTTTAAATCTGGGTTTAAAAAAAGTCAAAAAATGCAATTTTTGTTTGACATTGTGCTCTATGGAATTGTTCTAAACAGTGATTTTTGAAAAATATTAGGACAAGTTTCTTAAAATACATCACTGTAACACACAAAAGAATGCTATTTTATGGTGCCATGGTACAATAGTTTCACGATTTTACATAATAGACCAATGAACATTGTCATGCGATTTATGACCAACTTTCTCAAAAATGATGGGTAGGCTTCTACCATAAAACCAACAATTATTTGTTGGGAGACGAGTGTATTTATGTCAGATGTGTCTTGGGTTTATGGATGAGCCCATTCTGACTTTTGATGAGTGCTTCCATTGTATGTCTGGAATAGTGCAGTGAAATTACTCAACCTGTTTCGTTTCTGACAGACGGTTCAGAAAAGTAGTGTAATTTCACAATTCAATCTTTTGAAAGCTTCACAAGAGAATTGTATTTGAAATAGATTACTGATACAAACATTGTCCATGTATTCTTAGGTGTCTTGTGACAACATAATCCCATCAGACACTCCTTACATATAGCAATAGTCTTCAGTCTACCACTGCAGAAATTAAAATTTAAAAAATTTTCCCATAATATAATGTACAATAATATGCTGAAATTATTTTTCTACATAATTTTATTCTTGTATTGTGACAACCAGTTTGTAAATTTTTAATTGTATGTAGTGCCTAAAATAATAAAAACAAACTAACTATAACATTGTCCTTGGTTGCTTTATTTTAGTCGTATTGTGTGGTCTGAAGCTACTTTGGCTGACACACAAGGCAGATTTTAATGCATTGAATAAATTATTCACAAAACAAGCGGCTCTCTGGTGTGACTTTTGGGTTGTTGCAACATCTAGAATTGCAAGTTGATAATTTTCATTCATCCATAACTTTATGGATGTGGCGTGCATCCGGTTCCGAATCATTGAGTGGTATAATTTTAATATTTGGAAACTTGCTACCCCCCCTCCCTTCTTTAGCTTGTATCGACAGAGGTCCAAAGCAGTGACTCGTGCTGATCATTACCATCCATAAGTTTGTCATTCCCACAAATACCGTAGTACAATAAACTGATAAGGTTTAAAATTTCAGCTCTATGGTACTCCAAGGCAGTGTCCTTTTACCAGCCAGGTGGCATCTGGGTACCAGTTTAATTGCCTTACTGCTAGAGGTATTAAAGACTTTGACTGCAAGGTGTTGCCACAGTCCCTCTATAGATAGAGGGACTGTGGTCTTGCATACATATTACATTTCACTGACCTTGTATCATCTTTTGTTGACTGGTATACAATAATATGGTTGTAGAAAACTAGATCTAAAATTGGTTTGTCGGTGTTTTTGCCGATGCTATTTTGAACTTAAATGTCAGCAAGCTGCCCTGCCGATCAGTCTGCAATCATGTTCCATTTTGGTCTTAGCAGGCAGCTCTGTGTAATTCTTTAATAGACCAGGTCAATGCACAGCCTTTCACACCAGGCAGCACTCAAACAAAACATTACATCACTACACTACATGAACCCGCGGCAAAGCAATGCTTCTTGGGGAACCCTCAAAAGATGAAGACTACAATGCTACTTGACTTAGAGAGACCCCATTCAAAGCTATCTCAATCGATAAGAACCGCTGTGGTCAGAGTCAAAGTACCGCATTAATCATCTATCTGCCATTGATTTATGCAAAAAATAAGATGGAAAAAACTTTTCTTGCTTTGAATGAAGTACCTTAGTGTGTCTGTTTGCTTGATACTTTGAGAGGAACAAACTAAAGGCATCGAGCCAGTAATGGTTATTTCTTCAAGCACTCTGCTAAATGTTACCTTGGTCGCCAACCCCCAAACGTTGTCAACTCACCATTGATAATGAAGGCTGACATCTGGTTACCCACATTTGCTCTGTGTTTGACTGCTTCACTCACTGTGGAAATGTGGATTTGTCATGTGTCTGGCCTGATTTTATTTCAAAAATGGTTTGACAATTGGGTAGAGTCATGTCTGCAAAGGTGTCTATATATCACTGATGAAGTCTGGGAGCCTACTTATAACATTTAAAGATTTGTTCATGGTGTCACTTCTATGGACTTGGATCAGTTATTGATGCTATTTCACGTACAGATGACACCTCTATGTCATCATTTACACACAAAAATCAATTTGACTCAAATTGACGAATGTCTTGTACAGAATTTAGGACACCTAGACATTATTTGATGGTGGCTACCTACCAAGTATGCATTAAAGTTAAATGCTTATAACAGATACAAGATACTGCAGCTGATCAAAAGACACAGACTATACCTGTACATACAAACCACGGAATGTGTCGTCCATGGGACTGGTTAATCCTGTCATACCAATTTTATTGTTTTATAATAATATTAACTTTATTGACATTATTCATTTTGAAAAGAACATAGTCAAATACTATTCTAAGAAACAAAACAAAAATAACAACAAAAAAGAAGAAATGAAAATAAATATACTGTTGACACTGGTTTAGAAAATGGCACTTTCGTTAATATAAATTTCCAGTTCTATATGTATGTTGCCCATAATATATATAAACTTTGCTTCATTATCTTACGTATTGAAATTATGATTTGAGATTTGTGCTGATTGAAATAACCTCATTCTTGCTTCTTTGTGTTGTGGACAATCAATCAGAAAGTGAAATTCAACCTCAACTTGATAAGTACCACACCTTTCGCACATTCTATCACCCGCTTTTGGGCTAATCTGCACTGGCTCGGAAGGTTGTAAATGATTAGCTAGTTTGAATTTGCATAACAATACTGACAATGAACGTGCATTCAACGCCACAAGTTTTTTTGTTTTTTTAGCCAATCAGAATTCATCTTCCGAGCCAGTGCAGATCAGCCGCCGCTTTTGTTTTTGGTCTTGTACTATGATAATTCCTCAAAGAATGCATTTGTAGAATTTCCTGCGTTGACGCAAAATTTGTCAGTATTTTCGAAGTGATAAATTTGCTAATGAGGAGCATGGAGTGCCAACCAGTAAGAAAAGAAGTTTTGGGGTCGATTTGTTTTACACAACTATATCGCATGCATGCATGACCTGATGCGTGGAACTTTTCCGCAAGTGCACACATTAATCAGTGTTCCACTCCTTGCTTCCATGTCATATAACGCTTCAGAAAAAAAAAAAAAAGTCATGGTAATTTTGTATCGGACCAAGATTTAAGAAAGAATAATAAAATAGCCATGGCTGGTCGAGTGTAGCAAATGAGGTCTGATAGTTGGGAAATGAAAAAAGTCTGGCAAGTCAAATGGCGTTAGTTACAAGCAGTAGGGAATCAGATGAACAGTCTCATCTATATTAAAACTGGTGGGGTGATATCAGGATTTACCAATGAATGTTGTTGTTTAAAGCAGAAGGGGTTGTCACCTGCGCATAAACAGGAATTTAGTCCTATGTGACGTAAACAAGACACGCTGAAAATGGTTCTTATTGCATGTATATTGTATGAATTTTGCTCTCATTTTGGTTTCTGTCACAACTCTAGTGCATTGAAAACTGAGCAATCAAGTACTGATCTGGTAGCTAGCTACCCCCCCCCCCCCGAGTTGGGGCGTTGGGTTCACTGCTGACAAATCTATTGACACACATGTCAGGCTTTTTTACAGAAAATGAGACTTTTGGTGATAGATAAATAATTGATATTATTGCAGTTACTAGTAGCTTCGCGGTGAGTGGCTTTCGCGGTAATTGGGTTTCGTATCTGTAGGGTTTCGCGGGGAGTAGGGCTTTGTCCCAGTAACTGGTCCTTTCATCCTTGTTGAGAATTAAAGTTTTATGTTTCTTTAACTACTGGCACTATTCTGGGAATACCATCCTAGCAGGAGTTCCAAAATAAGACCCATGCTCTGATAATGCCTCTAGTTTCAAAGACCAATAAACATTACCATTATGATCTTATAGGTGTTGCAAAGGATAGTTGAATATTTTTTATTGAAATTAATAATCCCCATAACTGTTTTCTAATATAGATGAATTGTAGTACGTAACAAACTGTATAACTCAGTCTCAACAATGAAATAAAGGAATGTATATATTTACACTATTTATACTTATTTATTATACTTTTATTGCTACTGTACTGATAGAAATACTGTATTTCTAAAGATTCAATAAATATTATTATTATTATTACTAATACAACTAATTCAAATTGAAAGAAATTACAATATAAAGTTACCCCAGACCATTCGTCCCGGTGTTATCGCTATCGCCACACGAGACTCCAGCTTGTCTCCTATACAATTTTCCTTCCGCCCACTTAATTTTAATATTCATATGACCTTTGCACTGACATCGATAGCCAATCGCATTCGACCGCGGACGTCACTCTAAATAAACAACT